TAGCCGCTCAAACTGTCTACGTAACTCCTCTCTGCGGGATCGAGGCACGAACTTCTCCAAAAAGACCACGGAGAACTGCTGCCAAGTAAGGGGTGTTGCGCCAATAGGCCTACACCTCTCGTAAGTCTCCCACCATCTGAGTGCAACCCTAGAAACCTGAAAGGTAGTGAATGAGACCCCACAAGTCTCCAAAATACCAGCAGTACGGAGTATCCTCTGACACCTATCCAAAACATCCTGAGCATCCTCTCTCTCTCTATGCCACTGATAGGTGGTGGCTGAAGTCTCCCAAACCTCTTCAACCTACGCTGATCATCCTCAGGCATAGCAGGAACCACATAATCCTGAGCAACAACAACTGGCTGGGCTGGTGGTGCCTCTGGTGTCTAAAGTCCCTGAATAACCTGCTCGAGTGTGTGACCGAAGGGAGTTTGAGTGCCTCCCCTGGCCTGAGAAGTGGTTGCGGCCGTCGAAATAGAGACCGCCTGAGTAAGGCTAGTACACGCTGTCAGAATCTGAGTTAGGACCTCCTGAAGGCCTGGAATCACAATAGGCACAGGTGGTGCCTGAGCTGGTGCATCAACAACTGGAACCTGGTCCTGATCTGGGACAACCGATGGATCTGCACGTACTTCCCTAACTGTTGTATGGGCTGCACCTCTTCCCCTACCACAACCTCTACCGCGGCATCGGCCTCTCGCGGCCCTGGATGGTGGTACTAGTGGCTGGCCCTCCTGACCGGTAGCACGAGTCCTCACCGTCTGTAAGAGAATGAAACAACAGATGTTTAGTTACTAGAATCAACAGATTCACATGACAAGATAAGTACACATGTCTCCGTACCGATCCGCAACACTCTATTAAACCCGCTCATGACTTGTGAGACCTATATAACTTAGGATTTGATGCCAATCTATCACGACCCAAAAACCTAATCTGTCATGATGGCGCCTATCGTGGAACTAGGCAAGCCGACTCATTTCCAAACAAACCGATATTTTTCATTTCAAAGATAATTTTAATACTAGTTAACATAAAACATTCATTTAAGGAGTTCAAATCAAAGAAAACAGAAGTGCAAAAAAGAAAAGCCCGACATCGGGGTGTCACTAGTCATGAGCATCTACTACAATCTGTCTAACAATATCAAGGCTAACTCAGCCCGAAAAAATGGCTAAATACAACTAGAGGAAGATAAGAGGGAGAAGAGCAATGGCTGCGATCGCCAAACAGCTACCTTGCTATCTCCAAGAAAATCTGTAACCAGAACACTCAATAACCGCTATTGTGTCCAGCTATACCTAAATCTGCACACAAGGTGCAGGGAGTAACGTGAGTACGCCAACTCAGTAAGTAACAACAATAAATAAAGACTGAGTAGTAGTGATGAGCAACAAAACATGTAACATTCATATCATGAAATCTCAGTAAAGTACAACATGCTTTAAAAATCAGTGTTTGAATCAAATCATCTCGTTTAAACCTGGGTTCAGTAAAAATCATTTAAAGATATTTTTTCAATAGTTTTTCAAACAAAGGCTCAATGCAAAGGTGAGCAAAATGATGAAATCATAAGTAGCCCCTCGGGCAAAACATCACTCGTATACATCCCCTCGGGGAAACCTCACAGTCACTCGTGCCACTCGGGCATACATCACAATCACTCTTGCCACTCGGGCATACATCACAATCACTCTTGCCACTCGGGCATACCTCATAATCACTCATGCCTCCCAGTCACTCTTCACTCGGCACTCAGTACTCGTACTCAGTAGGTACCTGCGCTCACTAGGGGGTGTATAGACTTCAGAGGGGCTCCTTCAGCCCATGTGCTATAATTTGCACGGACAACTCATGTGCTATAATAATAAAGTATGTTGCAGGAGGGCATCCTCGATCCACACTCATTCACATAAATCAGACCCTCGGCCTCACTCAGTGATAAACCTCTCAAGCCACTCGGGCATCTCAATAAAACAGGGCATTCGACCCAAAATATTTATATGCATCAAAATAGAGTCATAAAACTGAGTTATGCGGTAAACAAGCATAAACATGACTGAGTATAGATTTTCAATCGAAAACAATGAGAGGATGGTAAGAAACAACCCCTAAGGGTCCAAACAGCATTGGCGCAAGGCCCAAACATAACATTCAGCCCAATTTACAGAAATTTTTTCTAAAACATATCAGTATCATATGGTTTCAACAAAGTATGCAACTTTACAGTTGCTACGGGATGGGCCAAGTCACAAATCCCCAATAGTGTACGCCCACACACCCGTCACCTAGCATGTACGTCACTAACAATAGTAGAATGATACAAAATTCGGGGTTTCATACCCTCATGACTAGATTTACAATCGTTACTTACCTCAAACCGGTCAAATCTCTAACCCGCAATGCTCTTGCCTCTGTACTCGGCCTCCAAATGCTCCGAATCTATTCACAATCACTAAAATACCATCAATACGCGCTAATGGAATGAATTCCACAAGAAAAACTATAAAAATTAGACCAAAACCCGAAATTGGCTCAAACCCGGCCCCCGGGCCCACATCTCGAAATCCGACAAAATTTACAAAACTAGAAAGATCATTCACTCACGATTCTAACCATACCAAATTCATCAAAATCTGACATTGTTTGGTCCTTCAAATCCTTAAATTACTCTCCAAATATTCCAAGCCCTAACCCCTCATTTTCACTAATTACCATGATTAAAACAACAGAAAATCACCATATATACAAGTATTAAGGCTCAAGTAACTTACCTCAACAAAACCCCCTTGATTCCCTCTTCAATCTCCTTCAAAAGCTCCAAACATCGAGTTGAAATTGTGAAGAATGACCAAAATTCGTAAAGGGTTCTATTTATGGTTTCTGCCCAGGTTTTTTCGCACCTGCGGCCATTTTCTCGCACCTGCGGTCCAAGAAGACGCACCAGCGCAACTCACTTAATCACCCATCTTCCGCACCTGCGGACTCCTTCCTCGCACCTGCGGACTTGCATCTGCGGTCCCAGGTGCGCATCTGCGAAACTAGTCCAAACTCCTCATCTCCGCATCTGCGCTCAAGGCCTCGCACCTGCGGGCTTGCAGATACGGCCAATTCTTCGCACTTGCATTCCCATCCTTGGCCCAGCGTCGCCAGCACCTGTGACCCTTTCTTCCGCAGGTGCGAAAATAGCAGAAGCAACAGCTCCAACTACAATTTCCAACTTCAACAAATCCGTTAACCACCCGGAATCACCCCGAGGCTCTCGGGACCTCAACAAAAAATACCAACAAGTCATATATCAACCTACAAACTTAGTCGAACCTTAGAATCACTCAAAACAACATCCAAACACCAAATTACCCTTAGATTCAAGCCTACGAACTTCTAAATTTTTAAATTCGGCAACCGATACCGAAACCAACCAAACCACGTCCGAATGACCTCAAATTTTACACACATGTCACAAATGACACTACGAACCTACTCCAACTTCCGAAATTCCATTTCGACCCCCAATATCAAATTTTTCACTGCCGACCGAAATCGCCAAATTTTCAATTTCGCCAATTCAAGCCTAATTCTACCACGGACCTCCAAATCACATTCTGGACGCACTCTTAAGTCCACAATTACATAACGGAGCTAATGGAACCATCAGATTTCAAATCCGAGATCATTTACACATAGGTCAATATCTGGTTGACTTTTCCAACTTAAGTTTCTACTTAAGAGACTAAGTGTCTCAATTCACTTTGAAACCACTCCAGTCCTGAGCCAACTAACCCAATACAATATAATATAGTTGAATAACATACCAAGAAGTAGAAATGGGAAAAACGAGGCTATAACTCTCGAAACGACCGGCCGGGTCGTTACAATATTGGTATTGATTAAGCTATTATTGGGCGTTTATCGGGCGGGTTATCGGCCTAGATGAATCTATATTACATATGCCTATTTTGGTCCTTTGTGTTACACTGTTACTAGTAAATATGAGCAAAAAGTAAGTTTACTTTGCATGTATTCCCACCATTTTTTACAGTTACCTACAATGGTCGTAAAACACACAACTATTGCTTGTTACTATCTTCTTTTGGCCAATAATTTGGTCCATATGGTGTAGGGCTGTTCATTTGGATCGGATATCCGAAATCCGAACCGATCCGTTCAATTTCAGATTTCGGATCGAAATAATTTTAATACGATCCGAAATCCGAAATTATTAGGGCATGTATAAATTCTAAACTTTAATTCGGATAATTAGTACGTCCTTTATATTTTTCTCCAAGTTATTACCTTTACAATTGATGGATTTAGCTCTATCGGTACCATAGTACTCTCATAATTGTATAAATATGAATTCGGATCGGATTCGGATTGCATTTACTAGAATCCGAAATCCAAAAATCCGATCTGAAATGTGCTAAATTCGATCCGATCCGATCCATGCACAACCCTAATATGGTGGCATTAGGATCCCATTTACTTATATATTTATAACATGCAAAGAAGGAGATTGTTAGCATGTTATAGGTTTGAGCAACAACAAAATTCTTCAACCGTGGAAGGGATATATATATATATATATATATATATATAATTTTAACGAGTTAACGATTTATCTGATAAGAAAATTAAATAATCCGCTCCCAAATCGATAAGTATTTAATAATAAAATTTTAATGTGTTCCTCGTCCGTTAAATTGATAACCCGATACCAATAAGTCATTATCACTTTTATGATTCGGTTTTCGATTTTGAACACGCCTATAATATTCCTTGTTAAATAAGTATTTGCATGGTAACTAAGGGAAGGTGAGATGTGACTATCAAAATTTAAAGCCAGCACATGCAAATGGAGAGTATATAGTGACTAGTGAATAATCAATTAATCATAGCCCCCCACCACCAAATTCTAGTGGCTGCCAATTTTGATGATATCATGTCTTTCAACCTCCATGACGTGTTCCTACTCTATTATATTCCTTCTATTTTATTACTTACTAGTACTACATTTCTTCTTCATAAGACATTTCTCCTCATCTTCCTTTCATACGAGAAAAATATACTGTTTTCCTCCTCAGCACAAAGAATTCCATTTTCTGTAAGTTCAGATCAATCATGGGTGGTGACAAAACTGAAAAGGTATGATCTTCCACAACTCTCTTTTTCCTTCTATATTTCCGTCTAAAGTGCTCTATACTTCTTCATCACGATTTCTTAACAACAATAAACTAGTTTATTATTGTATAATATCGTTCAGTGAATTAATCTTTTTTATAATTGTAAGAGCTGTGATATTGTGCTTAATTAATTACTTGACAAACAACCACATCATACTAACTAATCGTTTAACAGGTGATAATGGTACTCAAGATTGATTTTCAGTGCTCCTGCTGCTATAAGAAGGTCGAAAAAGTTCTCTGTAAATTCCCTCGTAAGTCTCTTTTATCCACTATTTTTCTTTATGTTTTCTTGATATTCTATTTCAAAATAGATGGACAAAATCAATCATGGAATACTATGATGGGGAATATATATATATGGATAAAAAATAATTTGATTTTTTTTTTTGTGATGTACAAATTTTCGGGCAAGAGAAATTAGAGACGAGGTATATGATGAGAAGGCTAATACAGTGACAATCACTGTGGTATGCTGCGATCCTGAGAGATTTCGTGACAAATTGTGTAGTAAAGGATGTGGAGTAATTAAGAGCATTGAAATCAAAGACCCTCCAAAGCCCAAAGATCCTGAAAAGCCTACGGTTGTCATCATTATAAAAACAGAGGTAAAAACAGAGCCAACAATGGTTCAACAATACCCTCCACGAGGATATTGTTGTGGACAATGCTCCGAGGGTCATATCGGGGGCCCATGTTATGAATGGTACGGAAGACCGGTCCCATGTTACGATAACTATGGGCCTTGGCCTTGGCCTGGGCAGTATGTCTATGGAAGATGTGACCATTAAAAAATGAGTTGAATAATAGAAAATTTAAAATTAAGTTGAATATAAATAAAAATTATATTATTCATTTAGAAAATAGATAATCAATGAATAAATAATGTGTTTAACTTTTATATTTGTAAAGATTCAAATGGGGATTTTTCATGTTTGGGAGACTAAGAATTCTTCAAAAGTGATCATATTCAATAAGGCATGTTATCCGTCGGAAAATCCGTTTTTATCCATTTCAAATACATATTGGGTCGAATAATTTATCCATTTTTTAAATTACTCGTTTTTTACTCGCTCATAATCGTTCCGCCCGTTTGCCACTCCTAGTTACGAGTCATTCGTTATCTACCTTTTCATTGGGCTCTCCTCTTAATGTGGATGTCATTTTGTTTACGTGGAAAACAATGTATATGTCCAAACGCTAGCAAAACTTATTTATTGACTATTTTTCCATTAGGTAGATAAAAAATAAGATAATAAACAAGATTACATTAATGGGGCCACATGTCATACGAATAATTTCTAAATATTTTCTTTAAGTTCAATTGTAATCCTTCTAACAATGTATAATAACACTGAACTCCGCTCAATAGGGACATGAATTGCTCTATTAAAATACTAAAGTGTCGAGGTAATATGTGTCATGTTTTTGGAGCAAAACATATAGTCCCTTCGATTTAATTAAATTGACACACTTTTCTTACTAGTCAATTCTAAAAATAATGACATATTTTTATATTTGAAAACATCTTTAACTTAAAATTTTTTATTTTACCCACTTTACCTTTAAAAGCTTTATATCCACACAAATATCATGGTCCCACGAAACTTTTACCCTTTAAGATTTTAGGACCAGATGTTTCAAAAAACAATCTCTCTTAAATTTTGTTTCAAATCAAACTATATCATCTGAATTGAAACGGAGAGGGTATTGTAACTAATTAAGCCCACTTGTTCTAGAATTAGTGCAAGTCTTCCTTGAAGCATGAAAATGACATTTTATTAAACTTAAAACATTTGGAAGTGACAATTTGAATATCACTAAATTTAAATTCTAACTATAATACTTGTTTGAGCTCATTCGCTCTAACCTTAGGTGAATAATACATACTCTAAAAGATTGAGGGGTAAAATTTCTACAAACCTAAACCTTAAGGGACCAATAAGTAATTCATCATTTTTATCAAATTGATCTAACTAGGAGTTGATAAGACGACAAAGCCATGCTTCCTCCTCCTCTATACCCTATACTAGTGGCGGATCCAGAATTCCAAACAAGGGTGTTCAATATTATAAAAAAGTGAACAGTAAAAATTTCATCAAAGGGGTTCATCGAAATTTGTTTAACCCAAATGTAATATCAAATGGGTGCATTAAAAAAATTAAATCTAAATAGGAACTAAACTATCATCGTAACTCATGCTAACGATATGTTGAAAACACACACGTACTAATGATTTATATTTTATTTTATTTTAGTTGGATAGTAAGAGATTGGGATTTTTTTCTTCCAATACAATATTAATCATTGTAACATATGCAACAGAAGGGAATAAAATATCAGCAATTATCACCAAAGATGAAGTCAAAAGTATCTCAATTCTAAAAAAAATCAGGAATTATTTTTCATAAGTTTATCAAAGCAAATGCAGTAGAAAACTTAATCATTTATATTATTAAAGTCTACAGATTCAAGAATCAAAAAACAACAAATAAGAGTTATTAACCTAAATTAAAAATAATCAATAAAATACTAATAAAATTCCGAAAAAGGTTAGAAAGAACAAGGAATTTACCTGGAATGGGAATGCCATGACAAAAGAATAGCAAGTAGCAACAGCATGGTAGAGAGACTAGAGAGAGAGAGAGAGAGGGAGTGGAGTGAGCCAGTGAGGCAACGAAGAGAGAGAGAGATTTAGGAATTTTAACCCAAAGTCAGACACGTTTTTTTTTTTTGGGAGG